TCACAAAACGAGTGGCCAGGCCTTGCTGCAAGAGATCAAAGCAAACTCTTTGTTTTATCTTGGTCAAGATAACGGATTTTATTTGCCTTATCAGCCCGTAGGATGATTAACCTAAATGTGAGAAAGCTCGTAGCTGCCAAAGGAGTTGCTGGGCGGGGAGCATGTTCCCCAGCACGACTGCCATGGGCTCCAGATGTGCACATACCACAAGATAAACAGAGAAACTCTTCAGTCTGGTCCGTACACGCCACCCTCAGCCAGGGCAGCATCTCCCATTGCCTTCCAGTGTCACTTACACGTACCCAAACCCAGAGCCAGGCTGCAGCTTAGCACCCAAGGGTTTCCCCTCCCCTGGTTTCAAAGGCAGCAGGGAACAGAAGTGGGAATTGTAACGTTTCCTATGGGAAGCTATTCCTTTGCATCACAAACTTCCACTGGGGAGATGACTGCTTTTCCTACGGGCCCTCAGGGGCTTCCAACAGGGCAAATGAATCCTCCATGTGATTGCATCTGGGTCTGTGCTGAAGACTGGGGCCGGCAGACTTGCTGCCTGGGGCGCATCCTGCATGTCTGGAGCACGTGATGCACACTGGATGCACGTGGAACCATGATAGCATCCACATAAACTGCGCCCACGCAGACATAAAGGGGACACGTGGATGCCAACGTGACCCGAGTTGAACACTACGCAATGAGTTTGGGAACAGCATTCCTAGAGGGAAAAAGATGTGCATCAGAAGTACCACTACATCGACATCACCTGGCCTCCCTCCTGACATCCTCAGTGCCCAAAATACAGCCCAAAAACGAACTGAGGGGCACTGAGGGCAGCCAGGAACAGAGCACAGGGTGGGAAGGGGAAAGCAGAAAGCATTCAGCACCAGCCCCCAGTGCCTCCCCATGCAGGCAGGAGGCTGTGCCTCTGGCTGCCCGGATCAGGCAGCATCTCCACGACAAGATGTGATCATCTCCCCACCCCGCACAAGCTCCCACTCCTTTGTTCCAAGTCACCAGCGGTGCAAGTCTCTATTTTTCCAGATTATCTCACTTTTTGGCATCTGAGTTCACAAACTGGGACTCCACGTTTCCCATTCAGCCCCTCCGTTCGGTATCTCGGGCGGCTGACGCTTTCCTGTTAAAAATAACAACAACAAAAAGAAAAGAAAAAAAAACTACCCATATTCTAGCCCAAAAGTGTCAACTGGTTTTAAGGAAATGTTTCCCCACAGCTTTAATCTCTTTGTACAGTTAAATCGCGGTGCAGCTCAGGGAGCTGGAAACGATTATTCACTGTGTCTCCACTCAGCCCTGGCTTCCTCGCTGGGGGAGCGCCGCTGTGTTAACACTTAGCCAAATCCTTCTAACCCCCACTTCCAGCAAAGCAGCCCAGTCCCGCGCTTGGCGTCACCCTCACGGGAGAGCACAGAAAAAAAGTCACCCCAAGGCTGGGGTGGCTTTGTTTCTCCATCCTTGGGTGTCCACGGCAGGAGGGAGGCTTGAGGCTGGCTGGGGAGGGGGACACCAGGCTGCAACCCTCACCGTGGCTTCCCCAGCATGCAGCAACAGGTCCCTGGTTTGCAGATACAGCCTTTGCAATTTGCTCTGTGGACCTGAAAGTGTTTCTCTTTTTTTTTTTTGTTTTATTTTGTGTTAGGGAACTCTAAGTGAGCCTCTAAAAGAGCAAGTTCTAAAGAAAAGGCTTTCCATTTAGGTCCAAGGCTGGGGAAAACAAACAAAAAAAAAGAATGAAAAAGTTGAATCACTTCACTCTCCTGATGTTATCCTGCTCGTTTGGCAGCTAAAGGGGAGGGGGAACCCTGCTGCTCTTTAAAAGGTGCCTGGCAACCTGCACAGTTGTCCCCGAAGGGGGCATCAGGCAGCAAGGGGACAAAGACTCGGGAGCTGAAAGCTCCGAGATGGTTCAGACCATTTTGCACATCGCCATGGTCAGACACAGCTATTGCAGAGGGACGTCAAGTCCCCGTTTTAGGTGAACGTTCCCGTTATTCATTGTATTTGCCTTGATTCACCTAAACAAGCACCAGAGAATCCTTGCAAGAAAGGACCACGGAGGAGAACAGGCTCAGATTTGGAGCAGCTGAGACGGAGAAAAGGCCTCAGCCACCAGCTCCAGGCTGGCCAGTGCCCCGGGGCTGGAAGAGAACCCCTGCCCGCAGCAGGAGCTCAGGAGAGGTTATCACCACCCACAGGCCATCATAGTTGGATATTAAAATTTGTTAAGTCCTACACAGCGAAGACAGACTCCTGCGGCATCCAAGGCTGCAAGCTCAGAAGGAGCACTGCCCCTCACCATTTTTGTTATGTTTATTTTTAATTGCTTGTGCCACTTTGCCATTTGCACATAACTCCCTTTGCCTACACTCACTGCACAGCCTTGCTCAGATTTCTCTGGATGACTCCGCCTACAGCAATCCACACTACCCGGTCATCCCATCACATCTCCTTTTGCCCAGGTCAGGAGCACAAGCCACCTTGAGGACAAAAAGTCCAGCCTTGCCCAGGATGCTGGTGCAGTGGTACGTTGCTCCGGTGATGCGCACCCATGTCCAATCTCCCTGTCACCAACAGCTCAACTCAACGTTAAACCCATGGGAGCAGGGAGTGCAGGAGGGTGTGACAAGATGGAGAGGGAAAACAGGGATGGGGAGTGATATTTCTTGCTCTTCTGCCCCACAAAGACACCTCCTGCCTTCCTCCCACCTTGGGAACCACGGCTCCGGAGCAGCCTCAGCCCACAGCACCGGCCACACCGCCCTAAAGAAGTTCAGCGCTGTAATTATTCCTTTCCTTTGCGGTTTGCTCTGAACTGCTGAGCTCCCGGTGATTGCCCTTCTCCTCCAACCGGCCTCTGCCTGCACAACACGCTCTCCCGCATGCTTTCGGCAGCAGGATGAGGGGTTAAGGGCAAGGCAGCTGAGCCCCAGCAGCTGGGGGAAGACGAGTCCCAGCACAGGGCTGAGGGCAGCTGGAGGCAGCTGCTTCCATGCCCTGCTCAACACCGAGCAACGAGAACAAGGGGCGTTCAGCAGCATCTTTTGGGTGCCCAAACCCTGGAAGCAGCAAGAAAGAGCTGGACTTCCACCACATGTTGTCTCTGCTGCAGACATCAGGGAGCCAACGCTTTCATTTGGGGGTCGTGGTGGGGCCAGCGCTGCTGGTGAGCATCAGCAATGTGCCTGCACCCATCTGCAGCCTCCCTGGGGGCGCCTGTGCAGCCAGAACTCTTCCACGTGCTTACACCAGTGACAAGGAGAGATGCCATCCGCCTGCCCAGCATCACCCCAGGGAGGGCATTGTGGACCAAGGCGAGGCGCACCCTGAAATGGGATCCTGCATGAGAGCAGCCCAGGACCACCTTGAGTCATGGCGAGGGAGGAGGCTGGAGACAATGAGGAGGGGGACAGGGGCTCTGGAAGCAACTCTGGGTTGTACATCCACGCTGACATGGAGGCAGAAGGAGCCAGAGCATTCCCTACCGCTGCTACTTTATCTCCTGGCTCCTCTTGGAGGCATTTAGACTGAAAGCCCCTTTTGTACCCAGACCACGGGCTGGCTCACTCTGCAAGGCAGACCCCAGACAGCTGCGGTCTTGGGTAAAACTTATCCCCAGCACCTGTCTGGGGCTTCTGGAGCCCTTTTTGATGCAAAGGCAGCTGGGGGGTTCAGCACCTTTTCCTTCTGCTCTTAAAGTGCCCAGCCACACACACCTCATTGTTTGGGAAGTTCAGAGCAGCCCAAACCCAGCAGGACGAGGCTGAGCACCCACCCATGGGAGAAGATGGACCCCTGGACACCACACACACAGCAGCTGGGGACAGAGAGCCTGTAAGGGAGGGCCAGGCAGAATCCCATCATTGAGCTGGGTCTTCAAGCTGAGCCCAGGTGGAGATGGACCAACCTGATACCTGCTAGAGGCATTTGTCTACTCTTTAAAAACCAGCCTGGAAAAACCACACCTAAGCTATACACATACACAGTGAGAGAAACCCACTCCAAGTCTTACAAGTTCGATATGAGCTCCACTACTGACTCTTGATTTGATTTCAGACCACACATATGTGCCAAAATCCGGCCTCCCTGCAGACCCTGTGATCACAGGGCTGCACCCAAGTAGAAGAGACGGAGCAGGAGCAGGGGACCATCCCATGGCGGGGCAAGACAAGGATCCATGGTCCAGCTCTGGGGTCAGGTACAGACCTCCCAGGCCCCAGGCCACCACATGCCATCCCACCAGCCCTGGGGAGAGGCACGGGGTGGGGCAGGGAGGTGGTGTCCTCCAAATGACCACTGCATCCCTCACAGCAGAAAGCTCGTGGGTGATGGGGAATGGAAAAATAATTAACAGGCTAGAAGAGGAACATTAGGGAGAATAAACGATGACTGGTGGGGGAGGGAAGCTGGCTTTAATACAGGATTAATTGAAAACAAGATAGAGCTAATATAAGCCAAGGCTCCAGTTTAATCGTGGCTCTGGTCCATTAGGTTATTAAATTTTGGCTCCAAAGCCAAAAAACAAGAGACTCCTGCTAATGAAGAGGTGGTTTCTGCCCCACAACCATAAGCAACAACACTAAACAACAAGCCATCACAACATTTCCAAAACCACCAACCCTCCTGCACCTCAGAGGCTTTTCTAGATGCTGCACAGGCGGGCGGGTCCACACGCAGGGCCCGAGCTGGCAGAATTGTCATTGTCTGCAAGCACCCAGGCTTTCTGGCATTTTCTTTTTTTATTTCCTTACAGGCTTGATAGCATTTCTTATTCAAACTGACAGCTCTTTCAGCCAGGATAAACCCAAGGAAAACAGACATGTACGTAGACACATCTGAGCACCGATCCAAGACCAGC